GAAGACATGGGTCGTGAAGCACCTACAGAACCTGAGGAAAGTGAGGGAGAACCTCTGGGCCCGGAAACTTTAGAAGAGGCGGTGGAAGATATGAAGCAAGTAGAGGATCTCTCTACAATCTACTTGACCCGATCTTTGCGGCGCCGAACAACACCTCATGTACTACAAGCGGCAAAAGAGATTCTCATACAGCTGCGCCAGAGTGGGTTGCATGTGGATGTCGTGCACACAGACAGAGCGAGGGAGTTCAAGGCCAAATCCTTCAAGGAGTGGGTTGTTGATTCCGGCCTCCGCCACACGAAGACGGCAGGTGGGGACCCGGCGGGGAATGCTACAGCTGAATTGGGAGTGAAATGGGCAAAGGGCCGAATGAGAGCGTTATTGAGGGCGTCTTCGTTTAGTCCAAAAGAGTGGCCGTTGGCCATAAATCATGCCTCGGCGTCGTTGTGGGCCAAGGCGTTCCCATTCAGCGGATGGACTTCACAGCCGGCAACTACGTTTGGAAATGAGGTTTGGTTTCGCTCAAAGGTGTACCAAGGAAAAGCTGAGAAGAAACATGAGGCGGCGGGCGCAAGATGGAAGAAGGGGTGGTATGGAGGCCCGGCGGTGGATGTGAAGAGAGGCCATGTGATCTTGAGGGACGATGGGGGCTTGACGGTGGCTAAGAGCGTTAAGTTCAATGTCATGGACACCAATGCGGAGCTCAAGGACCTACTTCCACCTGCCATCGCGGAGGGCCTGTCGGAGGAAATCCTAGCTGCCGAAAGACCACCTACAAAAGAGGAGCTCAAGGAAGAGATCGAGTTTCGCGCCAGGAACCTGTACCAGAATGGGAGCTTCGAGGTGGAAAAGATTGAGGAACTCTATGGTTTGTTGGAAGCCTTGGGGGATACTGACCGCAGAGTTTCGAAGATGGCTTCGGTTTCATCTTGGTATTCAGGTGCCTTCGTTCATGGAGGTGTGGCTGGCCTGAGGAACAACACCAAGGAGTTCCCATGGACAACGTTTTATTTGACCTCGGCAGCGAAGAAGATCTGTGGTGACGTAGGCTTCACGGCGCTGGGGATAGTGAGAAATACAAGATTGGGTTTGCACAGGGACAGCCACAACGTAAACCACTCCAAGAACTACGTCATCCCACTGAAGCCCTTCCAGGGGGGTGCAATTTGGGTGCAAGATGAGTGTGTTGACCCAAAGGACAAGGTGATCAAGACCCTCCCCAACGGCAAGGAAGTACCAGGACGTATGTTGGAGATGGAAAAAGGAAAAGGGGTGGACTTCTCACCTCGACGATGGCATGAAGTTCAACCATGGGTGGGGGATCGTTTGGTCTTCCTACTCTTTTCGCCGAGAGGGACTAAGCTGTCCGAGGAGCAGAAGAAGGAGCTATGTGAAGCCGGTTTCAATGTTAGTCATCTCCTTCAACCAGACGAGGACTCGGAGGAAGAGGAGGAGGTGGAACAGTTGTTTTCGGAGCGACCGAAGGAGACCTCTGTTAAGATGCTCAGTACTCGCGAGGTTGATGAGTATGCCTTTGTGGAGATGGAGGAGGAGGACTTCCTTTCAAAAGAGATGGAAGGAGCCAGCGATGATGAGGTGGCCTCCAACCTGGGGCGCTTTGCCAAGGAAAGCAGATGCTTGAAGAAGGCTGAGGTACAGTATACCCCTGGCATTGAAGATTTGTTGATGGACCTTGACAGGACCGGCAAGCAGCTGGAGGTCTCTCACAATGTGAGTCTGGGGGATGTACGCAGGAATCTCAGTAAGTGGAAGGAGTCTGCTTTTAAGGAGTACCGCAACCTCAAGGAAGTGAAGAAGGCCTTCTCGGTGCGGAAGCGGGAGGACTTGCCAGCTAACTGCCGGATTGTGCCCTGTAAAGGCGTCTACACGGTGAAACCGGACCATGGTGGCTACAGAAGAAAGACAAGATTTGTGGCTTGCGGAAACCATGTTCCAGATGAAGGGGCTACAGATCTGTTCGCCACCGGGGTGGATGCTACTTCGCTGAGGACAATGCTGGCGTTCAATGCAAGGAAAGGCGGCTGGCTCACCGGAACCACAGATGTAAGACAAGCCTTCGTCCTGGCCAAGTGGCTGGGACAACCGGTGGCAATGGAGCCACCTGCTATAGCCTACGAGCTCGGCTTAGCCGAGCGGGGCGACATGTGGTATGTCGAGCAAGCGATCTATGGACTTCGTGAAAGTCCGGCCCTCTGGTCCCACTTCAGAGACGGTGAGTTGGGGAGGGCCAGATGGAAGAGTGAGGTCAACGGTGAGATGGTGGATATGAAGTTGGAGCAGCTGGTCACCGACGATCAGATATGGCGTATTGTTCGAGAAGATGGTGAGGACAAGGAGGTGTATGGTTATGTTCTCGTATATATCGACGACCTGTTGATCCAAGGACCTGAACCTGTTCTGCGAACGTTTTACCAATGGGTTGCAGACAAATGGGAGGTGGACGCCTTGGACGTTCTTGACTACAACCACCCTATAAGGTTCTTGGGAATGGAACTCCATAAGACTGAAGAGGGCTTCGAGTTGGGTCAGGAAGGTTTCGTTCGAGAACTACTTCGGGCCTACAAACATAATGGAGCAAGATCCACCAGCCAAGGACAACGAGAACTCCTTATCCTATCACACGAGGAAGAACAGGCGCTGTTGGAGGCGGAACCTACATCCACCGAAGGCATGGAGAATGAGATCAAGCAGGCCCAAAAGAGGGTCGGAGAATTGATGTGGCTGATGAGCCGAACACGACCGGACCTGCAGTATATTGTGGCCTTGATGTCATCACGGACTTTGAGGACACCGGAGCTGGTCAATCGTATTGGACAGCGACTCCTCGACTACCTCAACGAGACAATCGGCTACAGGATCAAGCTGACCCAGGAGGAGGGTGAGAGTATGGAGCTGAATGTGTATACAGACTCCTCCTTCGCTCCGAGCGGAGGCCGAAGTCATGGTGCTTCAGCGGTGTTCCTGGGCAAAAGCCCGCTGGTGTGGAGGTCGTCCCGCCAACCGCTGGTCACTCTATCGACGGCGGAGAGTGAGCTCATCGAAGGAATAGAAGGGACGTTATTGGGGATGTCCACTCGTGGGGTGTTGCAGGAGCTGCTCGGCGTGGACATGATGGTCAACTTGTATGTGGACAATCAAGCAGCGGTCACACTTCTGACATCATCGAGCGGAAGCTGGAGGACGAGGCACCTAAAGTTGAGATCGAGCTGGATTAAAGAAAGGATTCGCTCGAACGAAGTCAGTGTCCGCCATGTGCCCGGCGCGGAACAAAAGGCTGATCTGGGCACAAAACCGTTTACGCGGATGAGGCTTAAGGAGCTTGTGGGCCTCTGGAATATGATCGACACCAATAGCGAGGTTTCAGCTGCGAGTGTGAAGACTACGCGGGTGGAACAGGGGCTGCTCATGAAGCTTCTGATGATGTGCCAGTTCTGCTGCGCCAAGGCCAACAAGGAGGACATTGCGTATGAAATCCCATGGGACCTTTATGCTGCCGTCATTGTGTTGGCTGTAGCTGTGATCGGTCTTTGGGAGGGAATGAAGAGCTGTTCAAGGTTCAAGATGGCGAAGTTGAAGGCCCTTAGGGTGAAGGGAAACAAGGCAGCGAAGCTCTCTAAGGGAGAGTTGAAGGAACTTCAGCGACTACTTGCTCTTCAACCTATGGACCTGAGCAGCGAGCAGTTGAAGAGGATGTACGAGCTAAAAGAGAGGTTCGAACTGACGATGCCTACCTCGTCACCGGTGCCGACGCTACCTCCGGACCTACCATTGGGGAGTTCCTCGGCATCATCTTCGTCAACCTACAATAAGCAGCCGAAGCTTCCCGGGAAGTGTGACAAGGAGACCCAGGCAGACTATGTACCTGCCTTTGAGAGAGTCCACCCGCCTCCACGAACGGAAGTCCGGATGTATGAAGGGCCATTTACTATGTCTCAGCATGGGGACAAGCTTCACCTGTTCCAAGATTGCTGGGGGTTGAGGAATGCGTCGAGAACGCATCAAGTTACTATGTGCAGGTGCTGTGTACAGAACCAAGGGAATCGGATGTTCTAGCGCCAGCAGAATCAAGTTCGGTCGGATGCGACCAAAAGGTGGTGATGCTCATCTTTGCAGACGGCATCAAGGAGGAGTGATGAAAATCCGCATCCTTCCTGCATATGAACTGATACATGCTTCCAGCATTTTGCAGAGTGAAGCGTGTTTGCCTTGCCAGTATGCTCAAAGCACGCACAAAGCATAGGCCTGAACCAACGTTGTATAGATGTACAAGCTGAAGCTTCCAAAGCTGCAGGTCAGAGCCGAAGCATGTGTGTGTTGTGGTAAAAAGAAAGCTTGCATTCGTCGGCCGCGCTCCATGTGATTCGAAGGTTCATCGACTGTATAAACCCTTCAGGTGGAGCCAGAGCTGACTTTCTATAAGGGTTTAGGGTTTAGGGTTTGGGGTGCTGCTAGGGCTGCTTGCTCCAACTCCGGGCGAAGTGGAAAAGTTGTTGCAAAGGGTTTAGGGTTTAGGAACCCTGCGGCCTAAACCTTAAAGCCCCAAACCTGAACCCAAACCCTGAACCCTGGCTAGCGGGCTTTGCCAGGAGCTAGCCAGGACCAGGCCGAGGAATTCAAAGCCCTCGTTGATGCGTGCGGGCCTTGGCAGACGAGGGCTCAAGGTTTAGGGCTTAGGGGGGCGGATTTCGGAGGCCGGTACATGAGGGTTTTAGGTGTGTATGCGACATCACGGACTTAGTTCTCCAATACCCAACCTTTGAACTTCTTGGGCACTTATATATAGTTTAGTAGCAACCTGAAAGCTTAATCTTTATTTGCCTGGCTTATTGGGGAAGTAAGTCGATAAGGCTGGCGCCCACTGACAAGACTCTCTGTTTGTCTGCGGCTTTGCTTATTGACAAACGCCGCAGGCAGACAAGCAGCCTTCAATGAAGGTTCAGGGGAACTAGGCTAGGTATAGGGAAATAAGATCTATCGGAATGGAGGCGGCTTTCAGTTGATATTCCTGTTATCTCCTCTCCATGTCTTGGGCAGGCAACTAAACCACTGTGGTAGGCAGAAGCCCTATTTTCCCTGCATGGGCGCATCGGTCCTGCAAACCCTATCCCGAACCTTGATGTAAACCTCTCATTAACAACCCCCCTCCAACCGTAAAGGGACTATCATAAGAATCCCATTGCTAGAGCCCTGTTTCGTGGTAGCCATCCTGCCTGTCATGAAGCATCGTAAAAAAGCACCGACACCTAAACTTCCATGCCCTAGCTTTAATCCTTCTCGCAGCATTTCGGCCCGGGTGCACGTTGGTCAGATACAAGATGGACGTCCAGACGCCATTGAAAAAGAAGCGCAGCCCGGATTACTTTGCCGAGACCTCCGAGAAGGCACCGCGACCGGCAGCCACGAAGATCGAGGAGGGCGACGACAAGAAGCAGGTGATCCATGAGAAGGACTTGTTGCGAGTACTCGTACTTCTTTTCTCCTGTGCCTATCGAGTTCCTCCACGATGAGATCCTATTGCATGTGTTATGTGTTGAGCCTACATTTGTGCACAGCGTCTCCGAGTAGCTGCAACTGCCCTCCAACTCCCCGACGCCCGGCTTCTGCCAGACCTCAAATCCGAAGGCCCTTGACAGCAGCCCAAAACCCCAAACCCCCAAACCTAAAAGCTCAAAGGCCCTTTAAAAGAAGCTTCAAAATCTCTTGAAGGATGTCGCTGTGGATCCGAGGGGCGAGGAGCTTTTGGAACTCCAACTCCAGGCCTTTCGGGTTCTTGCGGGTTCCTATGAGTGTACTAGTTAGGGGGTTTAATTTGGGTTTAGGGTAGTACGGTAGTATATACGAGTTCTACGAGGCCGAAAAAATAAGTAGCATGGGACACCGTGAGAGTGCGTCTTTGCCCGGCTTTGGGGCTAGAGAAACGTGTGTAAACGGTTCGACAAGACCGACAAGACCCTAAGCCCTAAACCCTACAAGAGTCTTGGGAGGGTTCTGTAGGGTCCTGGCAGGTAAGTTGGCCCTGCTCATGTTTGAAAGTATTTCGCATTTGTATGGAAATTAAAACTACAAGAGTCTATCGAGAGTATACGGGTCTGGGTGGATAATAAGCACCACAAAGTCCCGCAAAGGGACGAATATGCCTCCTAAACCGTCGGTGGTGAAGCCGGCACTCAGACGATGGAATATGAGAGACCCTTACGTAGACCTCGAAATACGGTTCTCGTTACAGACACCACCATATGTTGCAAGCCACAAACTTCAAGAAATCTCCAGGTGATAGACGAGGAGCATTTCTTCGAGCTCGATGGCAATCTTTACAAAGTCATGGATCCAAAAGCGCTGGTCGAGGTTAGCCGCGTGCGACAGAAGAAGCAGGCCAATGCTGAACAGCGAAAGCTGTCTGGCTTCAAGCAATGGTATGCAAACAGGCGTGGGGTCTTCTAAACCTGGCCTTCGGGTACAAGCTACGTTAATCACAGAAACTTAATTGGAAAGACCCTTACGCCTCGGGGAGGTGAGCTGTAGAGCGCTTTGCAGCTCCTTTGGTTTGATGCTGCCACTGCCAGTGCAGTGCGGCTGCCTGCAGCCAATGAGGAGTTTCTGAAATTGGAGCGAGCTTTTTCATGCATAGTGTACAGTCAACCTGCCAGTCCTACCATGTACAGTCATACATATACCAGTTCATATACATACACATACATATATATATATACACATACACACACACATATATAGATACATACAAAAGATACAAGTAGATTTGTATACATATTTACACACGTATATATGGTGTGTGTGTGTATATATATATGTGTGTGTGTGTATGTTGGATGCATGTATGTATGTATGTATGTATGTATGTACGTATGCTGTTACATATGCACAGACATATACATATACAGAAGTATGTAACTATACACACATATGTGTATATTTGTATATAGATATATATATATATACACGCATGCATGTCTTCATGCATATGTGAATAAAAGTGTATAGGTATATGTATATGTGTAGGTCTGTGTATATATATATATATGTGCATGTGTTTGTCTGGCCGTGTGGTTGGGGTCGTGCGGCTGGCTGGCTGGCTGGCTGGCTGGCCGGTTGTATGTAGGTGCCTGTGTGTCTCTGTGTGTGTGCATGCCCATCTGTCTGTCTCCGTGTAGGCATGTCTGACTCTCTGTGTGTGTGTGCATATCTGTGCGTGTGTATGTGCATGCATGTATATGTAAACACTTATATGTGTATTTCGAATTTATGTATATGCGAATGCACCTGTGTAATGTGATGTAATGTATATAATCATATACACATGCAGATGTCGGTATTTTTGCCGGTGCATATATATATATATACATATGTTCATGTACACGCTAATGCATATATGTATATAGAGATGTATATGTATCTATATATATATATGATATAATACAATATAATATAATATGATATAATATAATATAATATAATATCATTTCATTTCATTTCATATCATAGAATATAATATAATATAATGTAATATAATGTAATGCAATATAATGTAATATTATATTATATT